ATGTTCTTAGTAATTAAAATGTATTAAAATATAAAATGTAAAGATAAAAAAACATAAGGCAATTTTAATAAATGAATAGAAATAAATTTTACTTTTTCGGATTTAATATCATGCTTATGTCTTAACTGATTAGGGGAGTTAAAGCATAATGTTAAGAACTGTCCTTAACTACCATCTGTAATGTAAATAAATCTTTAGACTGAAAATTCTCACTTGTTTTTATTTCAGCCAAGGAAATCTGCATCCTTTTCCTCTTATGGTTTTGTTCAAAAAAAATTTCTGACCACCAAGTAATTACTTATAATATTCTGAAATAATCCAATTTTATAAATTAGACTAATTTTTAAAACAATAATAGTATCATTAGGCTTTTGCTCATATATCATAAAAAGATCTTTAAAGAACTTCCAACATAAATAATTATGCATGACCTCCCCTGTCAGAATCCATGTTGAGCATCCTTAATCAAATTTTGTTACTCCAGGTGCTACCTTTTGAATCTCTTAAAATGTTCTCTAAATTTTCACTCACACTACTGGGAAAACCTCTGTTGTTATAGTTACTGATTTGTGTGTGAACATTCCACAGTCATGCTATTCATGCTGCATTTTTTTTTTCATCTGAATTGGGCCTTTCTTTTTTTTTTTCTTTTAATTGAAGTATAGTTGATTTACAATAATGTGTTAGTTTCAAAACACACATAGCAACATATAGCAAAATGATTCAGTTATACATATTTTTTCAGATTATTTTCCATTATAGGTCATTACAAGATATTAAATATAGTTCCCTGTGCTATACAGTAAATCCTTGTTGCTTACCTATTTTATGTATAGTAATTTGTATCTGTTAATCCCCTACTCCTAATTTATCCCTCCCAACCTCCCTTTCCACTTTAGTAACCATAGTTTGTTTTCTATGTCTGTGAATCTGTTTCTGTTTTGTATACAGATTCATTTGTATTATTTTTTAGATCCCACATGTAAGTGATATCATACAACATTTGCCTTTCTCTGTCTGACTTACTTCACTTAGTATAATATTCTCAAGGTCCATCCATGCTGTTGCAAATGGCAATATTTCATTCTTTTTATGGCTGAGTACAATTCCATTGTGTAAATATACCATGTCTTCTTAAACCAGTCGTCTGTTGATGGGCACTTGGGTTGTTTCCATGTCTTGGCTATCATAAATAGTGTTGATATGAACACTAGGGTGCATGTATCTTTTCAAATTAAGAGTTTTCATCTTTTCTGGATATATGCCCAGGAGTGGGATTGCTGGATCATACAGTAGCTCTATTTTTAGTTTTTAAAGGAACCTCCATACTGTTTTCCATAGTGGTTGCACTAATTTACATTTGAGTTGGGCCTTTCTTAAACTTGAATATTTTCTTAAAGTTTTTTGCTGTTACGGTTTAGGCTTATTGAGCTGTTTCTCAAATTAACAAATGGTGAATACCATAGATGTCTAAATCTTCCTCTGGTTTAAAGGCATCTGATAAAGTCTATTATTTATTTATATCTTGACAGTCATATGTGAGTAACTCAATACATTTTTTGTGGTTTTTCAGTAATAACAGGGAAAAGTCATTGCAGTGAAATACGTTCACATACAAACATTAAGAGAATATTTATTTTTTTCTGTCAGACTTACTACACATACACTACTCCTGTCCTGCTAACCTGTAGACATATTCCTCTTCCTGATTTCTGAACTCCTTGCACTAGTTCTCGTCTAGCAACCAGTGTTATAATTTCCCATAAACTGTTTTCTCTGTCACACAACTTATTATCTTTCTCTTACACTACATGAGAAGTATAAAACAAACAAGGAGTCTATGAAAATTTCTGTTAATTAGTAAGTTTGAGATTTTAGAACACCAGAACAAGAGTTCTCAAACTTTAGTGAGATTAGGAAACATCTGGAGACATTTGCTGAAATTCATATTCTCAGGCCCCATGTTCAAGAGATTCTTAATTCAGTAGGCTTGGAGTAGGGCCTAGAAGTCTGAATTTTTAACATATAGCCCAGATGATTCGGATGCAGGTTTTCTCCGAAAGTCACTAGTATGTGTGCACAATAGAGTAAATGAAGATAGGGGAACACAAGGAG